TTTTCGAAAACATCTTTCAGTAAAACGTATGGGAATGCAATGGGCTACCCAGTCTGTATAGTATCGACAATCTTTACCTGGATCACCTGGAGGAAAGAGACCTTAAGGAATGCTTAGCATAATTCCAGAAGTGTTCTACGAGAGATCTGTGGAATATACTATTTCCAGGCATGCTTGTGGAGATGGAGAGTCATATTCAGTTGAATTTCAATTTTCCGTTGATTCGAAACTGACTAAATCGAACAGGTACTTACATACGAGGTCTTGTGCCCTTTTGTGTTCTTTTCAGAAACATGAGGAACATTCGAACATCCATGCAGTAAAGTGCAAAACCGCTTCTGCCTCACACGCTGAAATCCGACATTTTTACTACGTATCTTTAAAAATGGGTATTCAAGGACACTGAACAGTCAACAACTGCATCCCAGCTACAACTTTAGAGACATATGGTATCTCAACCAATCAAAAAATACCCGAACAACATCGGGCTGCGGGTCTACTTCAAGACCGATATGAGCTTAGGTTCCTATTCACAAAGTATACTTGCAGCAATCCGGAGCAGACCCTGAATGTAATTTATAGCGTCGATAAGATACACGCTAGAAAGACGTATCGGACAATGAATATGATGACTAAAGAATAATTATCTGCAGTACGCCTGGAGAATGTTAATAAATTCGGTGTTCTACAACAAAGACGCCTTATCAGAGACACTTCTTCAGTCAGAAGAATGTTCGTGTAGTCGATAATGACGAATCAAGCCTTGGGTATTAATAAAGGAATCCCTACATATTTTGGCGATGAAAGATTGGTTACATCCTAGGTGCAATCAAAACCTCCTCTGCAACAATTAGTTCGGATGCTATTACAAGCTTAAAATTCAAAGTTATAAACATGATGGTAAACGTCTGGTGGCAATCAGCCACCCACTTTATATCGAAACATATCGTTATGAGCTTGACAATCTATTTTACTGTAACTATGCCACGGAATGTGTAGTGAAACATCAGTGCAGTGTCAAATTCTAGAGTCTGGTACCCTCAACCACTCAAAGCCAGCGCATCTCTCGTGACAAGCTTTTACCTTGTTTAACAAATGAAAAGCGCCACTAAGCAATTTAGCTACAAGCAAATTAATGACAAATGGAGCAATGGTTCTGGCTCTGGGTAAGCGACGGCGGCAAAGTGGAAAACGGTTCGTTTCGAACTTCGGTAATAACGGCTTCGAATCACAAAATATTATCTTAACTCCTCCAGCAAAGAATTCAAATTCAACATGCTTTGCTTCGGTGAAACTAGCCAAGAAACAGAAAGCAAGGCGTTAATTTAAGAACACTGACACCGAGAGCAAACCAGAATGGACCATAAGCCCGGTCATATTCTTAAATGCATTCGCCTCTGAGATCTGCAATTCGTCTTGACCGACAGAAAATTGAATGTCAGCACAAAATCGTGACTTGATGCGATAGCTGTTCTTAACAACGCCTTGCCACAGCATTCAGGCAAAAGTGATCAAAAAACTGTCATTTCACGAAAATATCATTACCTGGAACCATTTCATGTATTCGCTGTCTTTCAGGTACATATAAGAAACGAACGCATATCCACACGGTACGACAGTCGCTACTGCGATCATGCCCCAGTCCTTTGTGGTAAAGGGCGCGTCTACTACCATTTTCAATGCTACTTCAACTTTCACTCTGACGACACTTCGACTGTTCAAATCTACGTCAAGTTACCTCGGCAAATAAAACAGATGAACATAACAAATCTAAAAAAACGTACCTCTTCCAAACAACTTGCTCGCTACACGTCACAGGCGCTACTACTGTAGTAATGTTTCACACAGCATTAAATTTACGAAACCGTCGTTAAAGATGGATAAGATCAAAACGATTTTTATTTACTAAACAGTACAGAGCAAATGTACGATATATTTCAGAAACGCAGGAGGGCAATTCATTTATTCCACATCAAGTTGGATAAATCACGTTTGTACCGTTCAAATTAATAAAGGTGTGTTGCAACGAATGTCAACGATCATTTTAGATTCAGGTGTCAACTTCGGTTCTTTGCCCAGGAACTGCTACGAGCGATTCGTTAAGAGCATAATCCTAAACGGCCCATGGACGGGAACCAATTGAGCTATTCTCTTTGAGAAAATAACTTAAAAATGTTTACATGATTTTAATATAAACAATCCTTCATATTAATGTGGTGATCAGTTTGCCCTCTTTCGAATTCGTAATTTTTCCAAGCGGTTTTATGCAAAAGTTTATTCGTTGGTGTTGTTTCTATCGCTATGTAACTCTGATTTATGCTGTTGCGTTGTAGGGCGTAACATTGCATCGCTCCCTTGCTTCTAGTCGCAAAAAGAGACTATTTAGGCAGTTCCCGGCCGCACTGCATTTAAGCATCTGCGGGGCAGATATGTACCTGCGTCAGAGTGTTACATCCAATGCCATGGGCACTATATATTATGTTCTAGATATGTGCTATCAACTCGAGAAAAAGATCGATGGGGAAGCCAATGCAGGTAGCAAATCGCAGACCACGCACGAATATATTCAACGAAACGGTGCCCAAAGAGAGCATTTTCACCGAAGACTGGCGCCACAAAGGCAGCTGCCATGACGACCACGATAAGTTCGCCGAGAGCAGAGACGCTGCGAAAATTTTGCAGAGGTAGTAACGTCAGAGCAAAGGGATAGATCTCAAAACAGACAAGGAGTTTCCTAGAGAAACAAGAAGATAAAGAGGGATGGACCGACGTAATGAAGTACTCACTTCTCTGCAAATTCATTAGACTGACTTGAAGGAAGTCTTCAAGCCCATCTAATTGCAAAAATTTTAGAAAACAGCTGAAGCCTCAGACAAAGCAAACGCGACTTAGTCCATTATCACGAGTTGAAGAACGGGAACGGATTAATCTTAAACTGAGCTAAGATGCAGTCTATCTTTAAGAACGTTTGCAGTGAACTTTTTGTCTGAAAGTAACGCTTCCCCATCATCAATTCACTCCAACAATCATAAAGTAGTGCACTCTCGGTCTTCAAAAAAGAATTTTGCTATGCCGCGCAGCAAGCCCCAGGATAAAAGCTCTGATGCTGTGGACTGTTCTAGCGGAGATGTTCAGTAGCCGTCAGAAAACGGAAGTGATGCTACAAAGCTATGGAGTCAATAGCAAAGGTATTTTTCAAGAAGGGCTAGAAGAAAGATCTCTAGGACCACCGCTTAGTTTGTTTATTTACACTAGTGCTGTTCACTAGGATCACCAACAAAATGTCAACAAGTCGGAACGAACAGCAGCCAATTGAACAGTAGAATTTTGAAGGAGCCATAGCATGACCGATAACATCATTTCTTTAACCTACTGCATAAGTGCGAGAGGGAATACCAGCCTTTTCTATGTATCGTATTCGTCGACTACGATTAAGCTCTCTTCCCCATCGCGTATAGCGCAGCGTGAACTGTACTGACAGAACAGGAGATCAACATTCGTTACCTCAACTCGATAAAAGAAGAGCAAACCATTTCTATTTTACAGATATCGCTGTTTTCAACCTTCGCTTCCGAATTTTCGTTAAAAAAAGGCAGGAAACACTGAATCGGACGTTTTGGTGTTGCCATTTTGGCGCAAGCCACTGGTGGGATCAGTTTGATCTTACAGTCGCCGCATTCAATTTGCATGACTGGAAGGTGGTTAGCTGCATAAACTGCGCGATACAATTCATCAGTTGATATATCAGTGGATAGCCCTCTGTGACTGTAGTTGTCAAACTAATGAATCTCTTATGACAATTGTATTTTAACGATGGGACGATGTCAGCACCTCAGTGCGCAGTCTTCGTTCAGAAGTTTGAATTTGTGTCACTGGCACATCTGCATTTTTCTGTATTTTAAATTGACTTGATCCACCATGTCGTCTAAAAATAAAAAGCTCTATGCGACTACACTGCTACGCCGTTGTCAAACTATGAATTCAAATGATTTTCATTTTATTTCATTATTCCATCATGGTGACTACGTCAAGTCGTTAAATCACCGTGCTGTTATATGATATTTTCGAGGTAATATAGATACAGGTAGTCATCTGTATCAATCAATTGATTAACCCCTAAGTTATGCATCGCTCGAAATCCCTTTGTGGGCAGAATCTGAAACATTCGTCGCATGGATCAATTTAAAAATTTCCACTTCGTCCGACGATTTCGCGCAAAGGTCATTAAATCGGCAACGTTAATTTTTACTATCGCGCGTATGAACTTATGTAACTTTCAGAAGATCCTTGTTTCCTTTGTGATTAACTACGTCATATTCCATATCAATAAAAATTTCCCTCTGAGCATAATGCGCGACTTTCGTCAAAATAATAAATTTCAAAGTTTTGTACAATGATTGTACGACGTTTATAGGCGAAGTCGCTATAACTAAGTGCGCAGCTAATTGCGAGTTGAATCTATATAATTAACTAATGGATAGAAGTGTAAGATATTTGGTTTAACCATCAGTACTTTGTCGAATTTGTGAGTTCAGAAAATTTCATGTCATTTTATGAATTCATCATGGTGGCTGCTTCAGCACAGTTAATCGGTGGATAGTCATTTAGAAGAAAAGTTAAATCTCTGCACTTTGCGAAGGCATATTTCAGTATTTTTCGCCGTTAATAGGCATATCGCTTGCTGATGGGTAGTCTCTATGAACTGCCAAACGTCAGTCAGATATTCGAATTCCAAGGAATTTTGATTTAGTGCAACCGTGAAACCATGGAACCAATGGGGTGCTGCATTTGCGATTTCATCATGGAAACGTTAAAGGTATGTTACACTCTTCGACGATAAGGGACACGCGAGTCATTGAGTTTATTGAGGATGAAAATGGTACTTTTGAAACGGGATCAGTAAAATTTTGTTCGAACGGATTTTGTTACATTTTCAACAGGAAGAGTAGTGACAGAGCAACGAAGGTTTAACGCTGATAGCAAAATAATAATCATTGCAGGAAAGGAATCACATAACAGATATCCCGATTATTATGGAACTTGGTAAACGCTTGCATGACATTCTGCCGTTGGTGTGGAGTTAGCCGAGGTTGTTACCAGAATTGAAAGGTGTGCCGATGAAAGTGTGGAAGGGGCGGTACAAATCATTAACGAGTGCGCCGATGGACTGTAGCAAGAAGCTCAGGGTTCGCTTCAAAATCTTCCTCCTCTTAAGAAAATCATCATAAGAAGGAATGGCGAGCACTGATCCACTAGTTGCGCTGAATTTAGAAACATTGCTTCTGCCGGAATCGCAATAAAGATACGAGCAGCAAATTGTTTCTTTTGAACAGTTTCTGACTGGAGACAGTAGACATAGACTTAATCGAACTTTATTGATATTGGACACGTAGGGAAACCTCCAGATCTTAAGGGAGTCCAGAAAATGGTTTGCATATGGAACATTTCGACCTGCACATCGCCACTGTTTCAGCAAATTCATACAGTGTTGGTGCAAATCTTTGATATTGCCCATCCTGCTGAATATGTGCTTTTGACAAACAGTCATGACACCTTCTTGAAGCCTGCATGATAAAATCAGCGGTACCAGAAGTTCAACCGAATTCGATTGCTTGCGATTTTGAAATTACACCAATGACGAAGAACGTTTTCGTCATCTTTGATTTTATTATCTGAATTGCAACATGAAGAAGCATTTGGCAAAATGCACTTACTTCATGCTTATAACAGCGATGCTGCTTTTGAATTGAAACATATTTGCAACGTGATGGAAATGGTGCTTGTACCCATTGATGAACTAGATCAAGCGATTGACCCAGTGGTGGAAGAACTTACCAACGAACTTCAGCCCGTTCTTGGGTGGTTCAAAGATAACTACGTCAGTCGCAGTTCATCTTGAGGAAATACAAGATGTGCAGCGCTGTTTCCTCAAGAACTATCGCCGGTTTATTGCAAGGTGATTTACACGGAAGACCGCACGAACAACCATACAGATGCAGCCAATCGACGCATTCAGAACGAGCTGGAAATCTCACATAAGTCGGTATAAGAGTTCACTGATCCACAAAGAGCATAGGGGCCGAAAAATATAATACGGACAACTTGTTGCAGGTCATTAACCAACAGTACAGTAAAAGGAATATCAGGACGCGGATGAAAGAACAGTATCAGTTATGAATGGCTGTCATGACAGAGATATGAATACTTACCTTTCTCGGCTAGCGCATTGCTACGAAATGATGCAGTAATATGATATTTTATAAAGTAAAATTTTTTATGATGAAGATAATTAATTTAACACCGACGTTGCCAGTCCAAGCCCGCTTGAGAAACGAGGACGGCTGGAGACCGTGGCGATGTCACCGTAAAATTTAGCTACCTGCCACACATTGTAATGCCATAAAAACTATTCTGGCTCGGTCCCTCATACTGATGGGCGATTTTAATGCGCATGTCGGAGTAGACGCTGAAAAGTGGAACGGCGTGATTGGAAAAAACGGCTCTAGCGACCTCGACAATAAAGGCATGGCGTCACTGCGCGTCTGCGCAAATAAAGGATTTTCCATTATGAACACCTTCTTCGAGCATCGAAAAGTGCATCAGTACACCTGTACACCTGGTACCGGGAAGCACAGAAGTCGATGATCGATTTGATAATCGTATCGTCTGACCTA